TTAGGCATAAAGCTGATAAAGTTATTTTGATATTGATATATATATGACATGAGAAGTGATATGGATGTTCATATAAATGATCAGAAGCACTTTAGATTAGCTATTTTCAAATGGTTCCTAATTTGTATTAGATCTAATAATATACAAATCTCCCGAAAACCTCAAGGGATGATACTGCCCAACTGAACTGTTAACAGGAGGCAGAATCTCCAGCTAGCACAAATGATTTAGCAGCATTTGCCAGGTGGGTGGTGTTAATGCATCACCCTGACTGTGAATCACACAGAATTCAATTCTGGTAAAACCTTAAAAGCCCTGATATGTTGGTGTATTTTTATTTTTTTTAGACTTAATCACATCAACATATTTTGAGCCATGATTGTTGGCAACATCTTTCAACTTATGTTTTTTTTAAAAAATAGTTTACAGCTTCTGTTTTTAAAGTAGTTTAGCAGATGTGCTTAAAAGAGAGATAAACATGCTCAAAGGCACTTTGAAAAACCCTGTTGGGATTTGAACCAGCAATGTATTAAGCATGAGACAACCTCCTAAACAGACCTGCAACCATTTTTGCCTACGGTATTTTTTCACTCAGTCACTCACAGACATGTTCTCAGATGACAAACAGAGCTAAAAATATCAAACAATGGTTTTTTTTTTCAACATTTTATAGTGCCACTGCTACAGTATATTAATTATACAAAGAAAGGCATTTTTGTGTTTTATCAGGTTTTCTGTTTTTTCCTCCAAAAAAAATCTCTTTTACATATCCTAATGTATGACCTGGACGAATGAGAACATTCACAGACATCCTAATGTATGATTAACTTGAAACCCCATGTCAGATAAGCAGAGATTACAAGAATGTTTGATAATCAAAGATAATGTATGTTTTTTTTCTTGAAGAGATAATTAAAAAGCGGTCACATCATTCAGTTATGATGTATATTGGCAAGAATGCAACCTAATTTACAAGCATCACTCCGGGAATGCTGTGTGTCCAGAGTTTCCTGGGGGCAGAGAGGAGACTGCGAGTTGGCTGTGGGAGAGCAGAGTATTGAAATAACCAAACAGGGGCTGGTGATCTGGGGCGTTCAGTCTCACTGCCACAGTGAAAGTGTCAGTGTGAATGATATCAATTCATAGGAGAAGGCAAGGCTCCGGAGAGAGAAGACTGTCGTTTTGGTGCTTGGATGCACAAAGGATCCTTCAAGAAAACAATTTTTCCTCAACTTTCTTACTCAAGGAAGTATTATTTTTGTATTAACACAGAAAAAGCTCAATTCACTGTTGGGAATGGAATTCACTAATAACTGCCATCCTTCAATGGCCTAATTTCTCACACTGCAGCTCAGAAAGGACTGTTGCTAATGTCTGGACCTGCTGGTGTGGGAGACGCAGGGGGATGATAAATAAATCACACATTCAACATTTAACTCCAACCACCTAAAAGAAATAGCTGGCTACCTTTCAAAGTGACTGGCAGGACATATGGAGAACATAATCATGAAGCTCATAAAATCATTCTGATAAATATAACATGAGCAGTGACGTGCATGTTGATCTAAATGATCAAAAACATTGTAGATGAACCAAGACCGTTTTCAAATGGCTCCTAATTTGTATTGGGTCTAATTTTCAATCAGTTCAAATTCCAATATAAATCTTGTGAAAAATTCAACCAACTCAACTGTTACTCCAGAGAGAGAGAGAGAGAGAGAGAGAGAGAGAGAGAGAGAGAGAGAGAGGGAGAGGGAGAGAGAGAGAGAGAGAGAGAGAGAAGCCAACACCCAATTCTCGTTTACCTGACCATAGGGCTAAGCACCTATTAGACAACAGAACAACTAATTTCAGTCACAGATGAGTGTTCACAGTCTACATTTTGGTAGACCATTCTAGAGTGTAGTCATGCCCATAAACAGCGAGACTGTTGGCACACCCACATTTATTTGCGCTGCAATGCACTTGACCTCATCTGAGATGTCCCCACTGCCATCGAACACGTTTGATATTTTAGTCGAGCGTCCTCTGCTGTGAGTGTTTGATTGAGCCAAAATGACGCCCTGGCCAGCACCAGGATGGACGTTACGCCCAGCAATGTGAGATGTCCTCTGACAAAACATGGACTAAAGGGCAAATGAGATGCGTTCAGGACGCTGGGGACCTGGCAGGGGTTTTAATGGTAATGGTGAATATTAAAACAGCAGTCTTATGAGATGGTTGTAGATGAACTAGAGCAGAGGTGTGGAGATCAGAATAGTCTTGTTTAGAGACTTGTTTACCACAGATTTTGCCCTCTTTTGACACACACTGGTGTTTCAGAGCCAGCGCAGGCCTGTAACACAGCTGTCAGTGTCACATGTAACATCAAGTGTTTGTTGCCAGATTATAACTCGGGGTACACCCAGCTCTGCTTTGTCAACCCACCCCATTCAAACTTATCAACTCACAATGCCCTTTAAAGGCTCTAAACAACACATATTGTACCATTTTTAGTTTAAAGCTTAAGCAATAAATCCAAAACAGCAATACCGTAAAGAATTGTTTGTGCCTTTGTTATACTGTAAATGGCCTAGATCCTAGTCACTCTTATGCAATCTGTAGCAGACAGTGTATCATACAATGTACTGTTTGTCTTACAAATTACTAGGGCTGAAACAATTGGTCAATTACTTGACAAACTGATTGACAGATAATTCATTGACAACTGTTTTAATAGTCCATTATTCCTTTCAGTCATTTTTCAAGAAAAAATTGTGAAGAAGAAAAAAAACTAGACATTCTCAGGTGTCAGATACTCAAATGGCAGGATTAGCTGCTTCTTTTTGTCTTATATACTGTAACAGTGAGGTGAATAGGTTTGGGTTTTGGACTTTTACTCAGACAAAACAAGACATCAGCTGCGAAGTTGTGGTCAGTATTTTGTTTTTCTCATTTTATAGACCATGAAAGAAACATAAATCTGCAGAGTAATTCTATAAGGAATACAACCGTTAATTGCAGCTTTACAATTTCCATACACACAGTGCATGCCAGCAATGTCCACAGGCAGAAGGCATATTCTCAGTCAGTGTTGAAATTCAATTTACAGAAAAGCTCACTGCTCCAGATGTAATTACCATTGAGGGAGTACAAAACTTGACTTGGAGCATTTAAATTATTTAGTAAAATACTACGGGGCGTCAAAAACTTACTGATACACTCGAGGGGTAAGCTATAGCATCAAACTAAGGTTATACGACAACATGACAATTAGGGGTAAACAATATTTAATTCAATATAAGGCTTTATCTAGATCAGAGCGAGACTTCTGTTCAAGCTGGTATTAATTTGCCCTATTATGGTCATGGCAGCATGGGGGTTGTCACAGATAAACGATGTTTATTACCCATCTTTTTCTAACTACCACTAAGTTATGTCAACAGTAAGAGTTTTATTACAGTTTAGTGTCTCTAACAAACATAACAATTACTGGTTACCACCCGTCCTCATCACATCATTGGCTAACGTTCAAGCTAACCATACAAACGTCTCCGAGAGGCAAACGTTAGCTCTGCGTTACACATACCATCAATATGTTTATCTGGGAATAGAAACCATTTCATAGACAACACACAGTGTTAAGTGACATTAACAAACAGAGAGGCGGCTTTCACGTTACATTTAGCACGACAGGGGAGTAACGTTAGAGGCTAACAAGTGTTTAGCTAGCTAACGATACCGGGCTACCAACCTCACGATAGTCAAGTAGAAAACTTACTGTTGGTCATCTTCCGAGAGTCCAGGGGCTTGTTCAGGATTATCCCCTGGCACCTCGTCCTGCAGCGATTTGACGTTTGTCCCGCTGTTCTTGTTTTTAAGAATGCCTTTTATCGGCCGGGGAGCTGCCATTCCCACACGCTGACTGTCAGTCCGGCTGGCTGGCTTTACTGTTTCTCTTCAACTGATTTTCTGCTTCTGTGATTTCTGCGACTCAGTTACCAATGACCGATTCGGTTTGAAACACACTCCCCGTCATAACTCAAACCGCTTCCAGAAACTCAACAGAAACCTAGGAAGAGTCCTGGCGGCTCTGCATGTCGACTCCCAGGTTGTTCACTGACTGGTGGGGCAACAGCACTACTAGCGAGTCGGTTAGGCTCCAGTAAACATCGCGAGATTTTTGCTATCGTGCTGCCTTCGAGTGCCTGGAAATTTCTTGCTATGTTACGAAGGTGACAAGAAAGTCTTTATAGAAAGTCTGCATTATTTCACTGAGATAATGTGTACTGCAACAACAGTGACATTTTTGGGATTAAAATGAATGTGAATTCATGAACCCGAACTTTCTGTTGAATGGCAGGTGGATGCGAAAAGAATATCCACAGGGCAAGACAGATCATGATACAATTTTAAGAATGTCCTCAAGGCAGGAGACTGGTCTTTTTAGTCATGATAAATTTTAAGAATATCCACACGGCAGGAGACAGGTGTTTTTATTCATGATACATTTTAAGAATATCCACAAGGCAAGAGGCTGGTGTTTTAATTGATGATAAATATAAACACTAATCACAGATAAAGGTTCCAGCACAGTCAAGTGTTAACATGGTAATGGAATTATAGACTACAGTATACAATAGTACATACTGTATGTTAGCACTCTTTGCCTTGCATTTCTATTTAAGGCAAGTCATTTCAACTACGGCAAGTCCTTGCTTGGACTTTTGTCCAACACAAACTTTAATTCATAAGTAATTTAACTTCCTGTAAGTAAGTATGACAAAAATGTAACGTAATGTTAATAATATTAAGACTGACGCACGTTTGGTTGCTGTGGTGACACGTACTGAATATTTAGTCTTGATCGTCATTTAAACATAAACAAACTCAGAGTCGGCCAGAAAACACCAAGACAAGTTTCACTCGACGATTATTTGAAAAAGACGACCTCCATCGACCACTTTTTCCATCCTGACATCGACTGACCATAAACTACATAGGACAAAAGTTGTTCAAGCATGGAAAATGTGAGATTTATTGGTTTAAGATCCATGTTGTTTTCCAATGTATTTTACCGTTGAGACGCTCAGAACCCCCAGAATTCAAGAATACGTTAACATTATTTGAAGTTTGTTTGGCTAAGTGAAACCTTTGGGACAAATTCATAAACTTTGACAGACGTTTGACAAAACATAAAGACTCCTAATGACTGTGAACAGTTTACACCAGGTTTGAACAGGAATAATTTAATTTCTGAATAAATATGAATAAAATATCACAAAAATAAGCATAAAACTCCTTTCAGGCCTTTCACCACCTGTAGGAGGTCATGGTTCAATGTTTTTTACTTTTTAGGAGATTTCAGGGTATTTATGACTTTTTCTTTTACAAAAGAAAGCTTTGCAGAAAACAATTTAAAAAAGACTGACAACAATATATATAAAGTAAATAATCTGATTTTGAAGAAAGTTGATTTGATGTGATGATACAGATGTTGGCAGGTGTTTCTAACCCCTCATCTATTTATTTATTTATTAGGCCTGTTACTGTAATAAAAGCTAATATAGATTATAACTTCTTTAAGCAGGCCATACAAGGCTAAATGTACATTTTCATTCTCACAATTCATTTTCAAATATTTTCTGACTGTCAGCAGTATGACTGAAATATATACAGTCTGTAATTCAAATCTCCATCTGTACATTCAGTCTGTATGAGTGTGCTCTTTGATTTGGTGATAAAACTAGAAGCACAGTGTCAGTTTCCATTCACATTACAAAAGAAACATACTGATATGCCTTCAACATAAGACCTGCTCCAACAACATGTACTTTTACTGTGATACTTCATGTTTGACTGTAAATTCTTCTAGTTTTTTTGTGTATGTTTTAATATATGAGTTTTACTTTGAATGGAGTATTATTGTTTGATTGTGGTGATGACAACTTTAATGTAAAGATATGAGGATATTTTTCAGAAAGTCATTATTATGAAACAGTTGATGATTATGTTGATGTGACATGCAGCGGAAGTTTGAAGCTTGAGTTTGTTTCTGCTTTTCAGTTTTACACTTGGCGTGCTGTCCTCGTACCCAACGTCAACCAGCCCAGCGTACCTAGGCTGATACTTCGGAGGGTGCCCGTCTCCAGCAGCTCCTTGCCAGGTCCCCCCCCAATCCCCCCCCCTAACACACCTCCTGGCTCCCCCTCTCAACCAAGCACTCTTGCTAAGTCTCCTAGCTCCTCACCTAACTCCCCCTCTACCTCTTCCTCCTCCTCTGGTTCTTCCTCTGACTCTTCTCATTGCTCTTCCCCTAGCTCATCCCCCCCAGTACCAGAAGATGAACGCTGGACTTGTGTGGTGTCTGACGCTGAGAACAAGATTGTCTTGAGAAAACTGCAGACAGCGAGCTCCCCTCTGACCACACAGACACCCCAGAGGTCTTCCGCAACTGGCCGCCCTTCCAGATTTCAGGCAAACACCAGTTCCCGGCTGATCTCAACGGGCCCCCAGGAGAAGTGGGTGAAGAAGATTCGGTCCCTTCTCAGACAGAGAGACAAGCAGCCTGGCAGCAGGGGATGCAAGAGAGCTGCTGGACAGCCAGAAGGGTGCCCTCCAGGGAAGCGCTCTTTAAACAATTGATTTAAAATTATGGAGTATTTTGTGATGTGATGTGATGTGATGTGATGTGATGAGATGTGCCTTTTTTACTTAAAAATGTCATTTTATTATATCTTATTTCATTTTAAGGACCACACACTGATGCTATGTCATCGTCACTGAACCTGTGACTCTGGTCAGGGTGCCTGTCAGAGTTGGGGAGGATCTGGGGGGGATAGCGTGAACCTCCAACGTGTTACACCCTCTCAGTGAAGCTCCTCTCTGGCAGATGGGAACAGGATGCAGACACCATGTCAAGGAGGTTCATATGTCTGTCTGCGCCAACCCTCGACCGACAGAGGAGTCCACAGTGACGAGGACCACAGTGCAGTGGTACAACCTGCAGACAAAAAATTACATAAGGAAACAATGTAAGTTAGTTTATCCTCTATATGTAGCCCATCATGGTGGAATCAGGGTAAGGTGAGGTAAGGTTCACGCAACAGGTAAGAGTTTCATCTTGACATGATTGTTTCACTGAGCAGCAGAACTGACCAGCAGCACAGCTGGGATATTACAAGGTGAGTTTGACAGCTACAGAACAAATGATTTTTATTGTTTATACTCTTGACTCTTGGAAGACATTTTGCATAATATTCTGTTTAGTTGTTTTCTCTGATTGTGTTTTTTTCCTTTCAGTGCTTTCTTTGGATGACTGCAGGACCTAAGATGACCGAAGAGGAACCCAGTAGGAGACACAAGATGGTGGACAGCCCCATGACAGTGAAGAGGAACAGAAACCCCTCTAGATGAGACCAGGAATCAATGAACGCCAGCCCAGGAAGAGAAAACAGCTGATGAACAGCCCAAAGATGATACAAGTACTGTAAGTCAAATCTTTATGATAGAGGTGGAATAGTATGGTAACTCACTGGTACATCTAAATGTATTGTCTTTCATAATGTTGTGAGAAATGTTTACTGTTACAGTGGACAATTAAACAGAATAAAGTCCCCCACAGATACTGTATGTTTACGTAAGTATATAGTGTGCTGTCAGAGAAAATGGTTATTTCTCCCAGAGTGAATGATGAGTTCATCTGTTGTGTTTTGTTCTGCAGGGATTTCTTTGGGCAGAGAAGCAGTTGAGAGCGGCAGGAGTCCAGCCATGAAGACATGCAGACCACACTATTCTTTACAACAAGTAAGTGGGTGTAACATTTAGGTGCAGGCCATGTCTAAGTTTATGTTTTCTCACTTTTAGGAACTTTTCCTATCACCATTGCCAGGATTGATTAAGTGAAGAACAAATGACTGTGTTCATGTTGCACTTTGTATTAGATTCCTCCCTAAAATCCCTGTAATGTCTTTTTCAGCCGAGTGCAAACAGAGGACCTGACTGAACGCTGCATTGAAAGAAGTTGGGGACAAGTTGGCCACCGACACAGTGGAAGATTTGATGACAAACTGTATAAAGGGTTCCTCAAATAAAAAGTCAATAGATGAAAAATCATCTCAGTTTATGCGTTTGGTGTTTGTATTCAGTATTTTATCTGAGGAAAGTTATGTAAGCCTCAAAAGAGAAACAGTGGGAAACTCATAAGTGTAACAGTGTGAATCCTTATTCAGTATTGTTTCCAGTTTTAAGTTTAAGTGACAGTTATTCCCTGTATTGTGTCTCAGATGATTCATAGGTTTTTCTATGATTAATATCAGTATCGGAACAAGACAAATCACAATGAAGATATAAGCACTTGAACCACTCACTGCATTCTTTCTAAACAGAGTTAAGTTATAGTTGTCTTGTGTGCCAGTTCTGGTCCTGCATGGTTTGAAATTAACTGTAACAATTCAACAGAGATCAGACTTGACACTGCCTTCAAATTAGATATGACAATATGATTTTCATAAACCAAAATAAAAACAAATTTCTGACAATCAAGCGACTGACTGATTTATAACATTTATTCTTTCCTCCACTCACATTTGATTTTGGCTGCTAGACTTTACTGGTACACATGTACACTACTTAGTTTCTCAAAGAACTGACTATAACCTTTTAATAAAGCTCAAGAGAGTTGCACAGACCACTTCAAACATTATTTTAATTGACAGTATGATTTTTTGGATTAGTAATAAAATACATGTTGCAAATTGAAGTCGAATAGAGTCTGTTTTCCACTAAGCTGACTGTTATAGACGAGCAGAGATGTGAACTGCAGCAGACTGCAAATACTGTTACAAATAAAATGACCAACAGTGAATGAATCAAAGAGAGTTGTTATCAGGACATCCAGCAGATGACTTGCTGTTGTTTTCCTGCTTCCTCTTCAACTTGACCATAGTTTAAATAAATAACACATTTTTACAGATAAATTAAAATTTCTTCTTTTATTCACAAACCACAGAACACAGCAACAACATGCTGATGTTAATGGGAATGATTCGTACCAATATTAACGTAAACTCTAAGAAAACGCTCAGGCTAACAGGACAATTAGACAGATTATAACATGATCCAGTATCAGTATCATAAATAAGTTTGTAATGTTTTATTATCAAATATGAAGTAAGCAACTGATTTGAGAACAGTAGGAATCAGATGATACAGATGTTGTCAGGTTCTTCTGTCATGAACTTTATACAACCCTAACCCCTCTAACCTAACCCTAACCCCCATCTGTTCCTTTATTATGATGTTGTTTGTCATGTGTTTGCGTTCATCTCAGCCTCTGCTGTTGCTGTTGTTATTTTAGCTTCATGTTAATGCTTTTACCCAGCCTTATATATTTTTTCTCTTTATTCACCTCCACCTTTTGGGCATAATGTGTTTTTAGTTTGATTTTGTCTAAATATCATCGAATATCCACTGAAATTATGCTGTACATGACTCACTGGTCTGCACAAATGAAGAGCATCGAAAGGCAGAGATTTGGCTAAGCACATAAAGACAAACAGCTTTTAAATGACACACCAAGCCTGAGATTAACTCCTCAGTTGTCACTCTGAAGGACTCTTCATTGTCCACAGTCTTGCAGGCAGCTGATGGGCGATCCACTTACAGTGGAGCTGAGTGGGGGGATAGATCTGGATGGGACTTGTCTGTGTTGATGGGATCCATGAGTATCAAGCCATGGAGTGGACATGCTTCCTGATCAAAGTTCGTGCTATGCTCAATTGCTTCATCCAAGGTTTCTCTGTGAAGGTACTATAGCAAAGAAAGAAAAAAATCATTACACACAGTAATTTAAAGCTGCTATGTATTGCAGTAACTAACCATCTATAAATAATTGTTGAATTTATTAAGTGGCATTTTAGTATTACATTTGGCAGTCACCAAATGAGCCAAGCAATAGGCTTTACTTTGTGTCAGTGGTTTAATTAGTGCCAGTGTTTCTCCAGATTAATACATTTAACATCAACCCCATTGTTGCCATCTCTCCACATATGTTTCCTTTATCTTCTACGTTATCTCTTTTGGAAGCTGGAAGACATAGAGTTGCAACTTCCTGTTTTACAAGGTAAATAAATCTTACATTGTACCATAAAGTCAGATTCAGATAGTTTTATTTTTCACCAGATCCAACCACATAGCACAAAATGTAAAGTGTAGTACAGGGATCAGTCTAATTATAAAAATCCCTAATGTGATCATTAAAATTTCTTGATGGTAAAATCTATGCCGCACCTACTCTCCTATAGTGAGTTACTGTACACATGCACACGAAAATATACAGTAGAAAATGTAGAGACCTGGCTATACTCAAGCAGTATATGGCATTTTCTCTCGGTGTTCGGCCACAGTGCTGAGAGAAGGACTCCAGAGATGCAGTCAGAATTTTGGAAGATTTTTGTGATGAACCAACAAACAGCGGCTTGGGAATGTTTTCTCTGGTGACTGGTGGGAGTGTAAACTTGCCCCTGCAAAGAATGGTGTCTCCCTCCTTTTTTTTATACAAAGGGCCATCATTTCTATGTTTTACATCCTGCTTCCACTTTTTCTGTGTCTCTTTAAAGTCACCAGGCTTCACAGACTGCAGGGGTGGTAGGTGGGGTGGTGCCCTTTTGAAGTGGAGGTGTGATACTGAAAGTAAGTTGCTGATGGGGGGTAAGCGTTGCAAAGCTTTAGCTCTGATTCCTCTTCTTGGCTTGGTCTCAGCTTTCCTGGATTTGGAAGACATCTGCAGCTGGTTGAAGCCATCTACCAGCAACATATCTCCCACCCTGGCTTCAAATGGAGCACTGATGTACTGGCATCGATTGGAGGCCACTCTCTTCTGCCCCAAACTCACCCAGTGTTTCATCTGGAGGTATATGCGCACGGGCATGGGCATATTTGGCAGGGATACCACTGAGCACAGCTTGTTGGCTAAGTAGCGCACACAATCCCTGTGACCATTCTGAATGGCAATTTTTAAAGGGTCGCGGCCAGCAGGGTCATGACAAGCCAAGGTTAAAAGGTTCTTGGTGATGAAGAGTTTGAGGATGAGGAGCTGACTGCTCTCCACAGCTACATGGATGGGACACTTTCCGGTGTCTCGGTGGGCGGTTTGATGGCACCACTGGCGGTACGGATGGACTCCCACGGGTTCCTCAGCATGCACCCCCCTCTCCAGCAGCCAGCCTGCCAGGTCCAGGTGGCCTAAAGAGGCAGCAATGTACAGCGCTACCCGCAGCTGAAACCTGGAGGAAAGAGGAGAGTTTCACTTAAGCTAAATAAAATGTTTTGTTTGCTCTATGGATTAGCTGCACAACAGCTTCTTTTCATGTGAGGAATTTATGACCTCATCACAATCCTGTCGTCTGATAGGTGGCTCTGGACTGTCAATCTGTGGCCCAGGACGCAACCTTGGAGGAACTCCACCCACCCATCCCACGTGTCCAAACGTAGAGTAGCGCCTATGTTAAAAAACATGGATTCCAAAATAAATCAGCTTCATTCAAATTATATTCTGTTTTTACCTAAAATCGGTTGGTTGCATATAAACAGTTGATATGCAAAGTAATCTGTAAGTTAAAACAATTGATTTTGTTTGTCGTACTGGAGCTTTTAGGCTTATACCTTGTCGATACTGGCCGTGTAGCAAATGAGGCATGTCAACAAATGTGGCCATAACTGTAGTTGTTGAATGCCAACAAAAGATAGCCTTGTTATATCTTGACAAGATGATCAAATCTGACCATTTAGAACAGTAAATATTTTAACTTTGAATAGTAAACTTCAGTTCTCGATACCTTACACCCAGTTCATACCAACCACCATTCAGCACAGATGGAGGCTGCGTACATTATAAAGTTTAAAGCAATTGAATTGTTGAGAAAATACAAGATATCTAACCTGTAACTGAATCAATTAAAATTTTACTCAACTATCCAAACAGCATTCACCACAAAGTTACACACATCAGTCACATGGCAGCACAGAAAAAAAAACACACCTTACCCACGCCAATGGCATAGTCTTGCAGTTGGTTGCAATCATAGAGTTGCACATCTGTGAACACGCTGAGTCTGAAGGCGCTGACAGGGAGGCCACTCTGCATGGACACCATTGTTTTCAGTCTAGCAACGGACATATGCAGAAGAGCCTCACTTCCTGGGACTGGTAAGCTTTCTCCTGTCACAGCGTTGAACACGTGCATCACAGGCCTTGGCTCACTCTGAAAAATAGTTATAGTGGCACAATGGCCTTGCAGTTAATGAGGCAAAACTCAAAGTAACTGAAGTCACAACATCAATCCTTGTGTTTAAAAGATATCACATCCCACTGAAGGGTCAATGACTCAAAAACGAAAAAACCTTTTAAATGATCTTAAACTTAAATTGTACAATATAAGTCAGAGGTTCATTAGTCAAGTTCACATTTTAAGTTTAGTTCATTACATTATATTTCATTTGTTTGCAGCCACTGTACTAGGATGAACGATATTCCATGACCACCATGTACCAACTTAAATAGTTTTATATTAAATAGTTTGGAATCAAACACGAGAATTTGAAGTGACAGGTATTATTCTTAAGCTGGTATGTGTCTTTTTGTTTAATGTAAAAAATATAGCAAAAATAGTACACAGAGGGAATGCTATATAGTGTCTCATTAACAGGGGCATAATGTAGTGATCTTGGAGTTTGCTGCCACTCTGTGGCTGACGTTAAACTTTTTAACTGAAATATATTGCATACACTAAATTGTCTAGATAACTCTGCTGAGAGAAACCCAGTACCTGAAATGCTTTTTTTGCAAAAGTAAAAAGAATTTGGAAGCAAACAAGAGATATGTACATACATCTATTTGCTTTGTACATGATTTCTCGTCTTGCTTGCAAATGATTTTAGCTGAATACATGTATATATGTAGGCAACTCATTAAAGTGGGCAGAAATATATCTTTGACATAAACGAAACATGTGAAATGTCAAAGCCCAAGTGACCCAGTCAGTCTGGAGTGTGAAATAGGACAAAGAATATACACCCAGTAGAAAACAACTACTTTTTTGAGAAGCTGTATAATGACAAAAGCTGAGAAGGGACACGGACACACACACACACACACACACACACACACACACACACACACACACACGCTTACCACTGTCAGCTTTTACACAAGGTTGCCCAGTGATGAGCCTGGAATGACTCCTAATACTAAAAACCAAGGAATGGGGACAAACTAAAGATCTCAGACAGCCATAAACGCAATTCCCTTCAAGTTGCTGCTCACATGGGAACATCTTGTCCCATATTCCTGCACCAGTCTGACATTAAAGTCAGACACTGTGAGAAGAATGTCTTTAAGGAGAAATAATCACAAGTTCTGAATATGCCTACACTTAGATGCTGATTTTAGCTGTACATGCATAGAAAAATGAACACCTGTATGTTTTTGAAGTGAAATGTCATTAGTGATTATATGTAGCGAGTGGGGAAACTGAACAAATGGACCCAGTTCAAACTCCTGTGACAGCAAGTATCCACCATACTGAAGTGTCGCTGAGCATGGCATTAAATGTGCACCAATTTAAGGAGGAGTAGTTTGTTTTGGTGGAAAGTCACAGTCAGAACTTCTATGTGCAAGCGATTTAAAAAAATATTGTCTAAAACACAAAGCAAAGATGCACTCTAGCATCATGTCCCAGCATGCATCCTTGTAAGCAGATTGTATTTACTGTAAATGTACTGTATTTACTGTAAAGCCCAACACAGCCTCAAATCTGTGCTCTCTTTTGATGTTTTAAAACCTTTATCAGGCATCGGATGGTACTTCCACTGGTGATGCCCACGTCGCTCAGAGCCCAGCTGTCCTGCAGAGCAGCACCACCATAACTCAGCTCTAGGTAGTTCCAGACCTGCTTGTCATCAGAGAGTTGCAGAAGAAATTTTTCCTACAGAAAGGAGTGGATGGAAGTTAGTGGAGTCGCAATAGAGAATGGACCAAGAAGTTTGTGATGGACCATGTTCAGTGTCTGTGGCTGCATTTACTTTCCGTCTTCCTGACTGACAGTCTTCTGTGTTATTTTCAGTGCATGCAAATATGTATGTAAACATTTTTTGCAATGCATACTATTTCACCATTACAAGCAACATTATGGCAAAGATGTAATAAATCTATCAACCACTGTCTTTTCCCTCTAGTACAACATTCAAATCATCACAAAATGCAGTCAAAAGTGGAGCTTTTATTACCTTCACCATCTGCTTCATGGTCCCCACAGTCTGATCTGGAGGGATGTCAAAAGTTTCACAGAAGCCCTCGAAGTAGATGAAGACCTTCATAGTCAGGACATCCGTCCTTCGTCTGTTTGGCTCCCCGCTCTGATCAGACTGAGGAGTGTGTGTGGGGTGTTTGTTACAGCCAGAGTCATTTTAAGGGAAAGTGGAGGAGGTGGGTGGGGGTTTGGGAAGGCACAACTACTCTTGTGATCTAATAAGTCACCCAAATACTTTTAAATCCAAATGATCTAATAGTTGCCTTCAAAAAAAAATGTATTTCTGAAATGTTAATTGTATACTGAAGCTGATGAACTGATATTTTTTGGCTTGGTGATGTGGAGTGTTTAAAGTTTATCCATTCGGGTTTTCAAAAGGTATTTTTCTCACCAGCATAGAATCCTTCAATTAATGTTAAATGCAAGAGATGTAGAAGAAATACATTAAAAGGGCAAAAAAATGTTGGTGGTTATATTGGAAAAAGTAGTAATAGAAATCTAAGTAAATAAGAAAACCCCTTAAAACTGTCTATTCTATGTTAAAGAGCAGTTTCACAATTACTATACAAGTGTCATTACAGAGACAAAAAACAAGAACAATCATAGTACAAAACTATACGGGCCACTGAGTACACTGTAAAGCAACAAATAAGAAATCTATCTCAGTATCTGCAGGTGTGATAACATGCTGTGTTGAACTTGACAACAGTTATTAAACCACAAAACTGGAGTCTCATGTTGTCTGTGCACCTGACCTGCCTTTTTTTACAGCAACAATTAGACTTCATCACATGTGCCTGGACTCATAGTCACAAAGTTCAGGTGTGGTTATAGACTTTACATTACAGTACAAGTACAATGTACATCAGGATCTTAATGATACTTTTGGTACTTGATTCTGTTCTAACATTACCATATCAAGAAGGTCTATGTAGATTTTGATCAGTGTTGCTTATACTGTACAGTTTTTGCAAGATTGACTCGAGTTACAAACCACTGCACTGTCTTACGTCAGTTCTGTGTTGTGCCTTTTATTGTGAAACTACCCACTGCTTTCACACTGTGTTGAAAGTTACAGTTATTCAGAATGTTCTTTGATAGACTTTTACGATTCTTCTATAAAGTTTTACAAGGGGCTGCTAATTTGCATTTGACCTTTTAAAGCCTGAAGTTTTTGTGTTCAGTCTTGGCTCATAGCAAGAACTGCAAGTTGGGATGATTTCTGTTCTTTGCAAACAAATCAGAATGAATGAAATCTAAATTTAGGAATATTGCTGCTCCTGGATCCTGTGGCAAACCACACTCACCCCTTTTCATTATGCTGAACTTTGAATTTTAAGTGTAGTTTTCCAATATTTTATGTGTGTTTATTCCTATGTTCTGTAATCACCATTGGTTGATAAGCACTGTAACTTTGGTAATTTTATGGAAGGATAAGTTAAACTTTGAACCTAATAATTTTTTCCTCATGTTTCATCTGGCATCCCTGGCAGAGATGAAGTTGTACTCAGAAGTTTTACTTCAGCAGCAAAATAACATTAAAATGAAAAATATTTGTCATAAAGAATTCCCTTTCAGTGTGATATGTTGATTTTAGGAGTCATACTTCTCCATGTACTCACAATATGTTTTGGATTTAAACAGTTGTGGAAGTAGTATTCAAATTCCTCACTTAAGTAAAAAGTAGCATTACCACAAAAATATTCATACAAGTAAATGTCCTGAATTCAAAATTTTACTTAAATGTAGTACAGTAAGTACAGAATTATTATGAACAAAATGCACTTTAGGTAAAAGTAGTATACTGCTGCCAATGTTTATTGCATATTGGTCTCATGATTTCCCCATGTAACATGATCACAGATTTCTCAGTCTACTCTTGCTTAAACGTGTTTTTTACTATCAACCTTCCTTTGCACGGCCTACTTTTTAACTTTTCTACAGTGACCCTGAGATAATGTTACTAACATGACATGCATATGTCTCTCACAAGTGATCTGAGTCAGGCTGCATTGAAATTTTGCTTTGGATCCGAATTGTATTTGAATTTGTATTTATTCGTGTTTTTTACTTTGTCTGAGTCCGCCTATTGAGTATGTGGGCTATAGAGGGAGCTAGAGATTAAAAAGTGTTAACTGTTTTCAACACTTTTTTGGAGGAGGATGGTGACAACATTTGTACTAGTGAAAAAGAGCTGACACTTTTTTCCATTTAAAACATATATCTTTTTTCAAATATTCCACTGAAGCCAATTACTCTCGTAACGCACTCATGCAGCTGTAATACGGTTGTAAATACAGACTAGTTTAGTTCATGTGACTGTAAAGGGGAGTTTGTGTCATCACGTGGATCTGTTTACGTCTGGAGTCATTTCCGAAAACGGATGATTGATAGCTGATTCGTCCAATCAGAAGCCGAATCTGGAGCGGAGGACGTGGCGGAAGTTTACTCTCTCACATGAAAGAAGAAGCTAGCGGATTAAACTGTTCATGTTCACACTCCCTGACCCGCCGCTCAAACGGGATGAAGTGCACCCAAAATCTTCGCTGTTGTACAGTTTCCTTTACCTGACGCATAGTAAACGAGAGCGATGTCCCTGCCAGCAGCTAAGTTCATGGACAAGAAAAACCTCCAAGCAGCAATAAAGGTAAACAGCCACGAATAGCAGGCTAGCTACCTGCTTTAGCATCGTGCTAACTCGGGTACAGGACGGTCTGTTTTTGTTGCTAGCTGCACACCTTTTAAGGTATCCACACCACACCACTCATTTATTTATGTGTATAAATACATCCCCCCGAAAATTGTAGCCATCTCACATTGTATGACAGTGACGTTACCGGGTGTGTTTGTAAAAACAGTTCAGTGTGTGTAACCAGCATAGTCTCTGAGATTTGGGGTTGGAAGTTTAACGCAGTTTCGCTGTTAGTACCATGTTTTCTTATTTCCTCAATTTTATCCTCCAGTCACACTGTTATGTTAATTTAGGCATCTTACTATTACCTCATAGACTCTTGTGATTGCTGTCACTTGATGTTTACTCATCTTCTTCATGAGTGATGTTGCATTCACTTCCCCTTTAGTCTTTTTTTGTCATTAACAAGACTCTTTATTAGCCAGGTAGTTTCGCCATTGCATGTAATAACAATTTTGCATTTGAGTCACAGGTGTAAGCTAATGTTTTTTGTCTATATCCATAATAAACATGTACCCACCCTGCAGGTCAACTAACCATAGTAGCATTTTGAAGACATGTTTGTGATTTTCAACTCTTGACTGACATTTAATGCAAATTGTACAAATTGGCTACAGGCTCCCTCTTTAATACTTTAAATCACAGAACAGGACAGTTTTATTGTAGGGCAGCGAGAATTAGCCGATTGATTTATAGAAAATTATTCTGCATGAAATTTTTCAAGCAAAAAATGACATATATTCTGGTTTCAGTGTCTCAAATGTGAGGATTTGCTGCTTTGTATGTCTTATGATAGAAAATTGAATAAATTTTAGTCTTGGACTGTTGTTGGTCAGGCTAAATGAGACATTTAATGACTCAACCTTGTGCTCTGGTATATTGTGATGGACATTTTATCACTGTTGTCTGATGTTTCATTGACCAAACAATTAATCGAGAAAATAACCAGCAGATGAATTGATACTGTAAATCATTGTTAGTTGCAGCCATATTTTATTGTTACTAAATTCTGCAAGAAATTCCCATCAGTTTATCTTATATATAAACTGTTTCTCAACTCAATTTCCAGAAAATGTACTGCTCATATATCAGTATTGCTATAAAAGTTATCTATACTGCAATAGAATATTTGATGCATTTCCCACCCTTAACAAACATTTTTTTTATTGTTTCTCATTGGTCCTAGAATTATCAAGAGTTAAATTTTTTTTACCTTGTGTATTTTGATACACACTATGAATACTAGGATGTTGTTGTCATAGATATGTTTATTTTTTCATCTTAACTGCTTTGTATGGACAAATAAATGGGGATGCAGTTAAAGAAAAGGGTTAAATTTGACTTCAGTGTGCACACAAGAATTTTCTTTTTCCCCAACACCTTTTATATGATAGTAATTAGACGGCTGGTACCACATATTTTTCAGAAGACATAAGCTGAAGTGAAAGTACAGATACCACATTTTTCATAAAAGGTCTTTTGTGTTCAGATATTTTGATGGAATGGAGGAAATGATGCTGTTCCCTCACAGAATAACATGCTGTTTTGTGGGAAATGGCAGCAGCAGCATGAGTAGGACAGAAGGAACGAGAATGAATCTACATTCTATATTTGAGCCTAAGCAATTTAGTGATTGCAGATGTTTGGAATCATCACTGCCACAGAACAATAGGTAACTTCCACTCATGTAAATTACACACACTGTGGCATTGTAGTGAAATGAAAATATTGCTATCACCCAACCTTGGAAACAGTCTGTTGAAGGGATATTTTGCAAAAAATATGATTAAACGCTATACTGACAATCGTGGGGAGTACTCCAATAACCACATCCAGCCTATTATCTTCTGTATTGGCTTTGAGATGTACACAACAAATCAAGAGTAATCCTCAAATACTACTAATCTATTTTGCAGCTTCACAACATGGCTTAGTGGTCCAAAGCCTGGCAAGCCTTTAGCTGTTGGTTTCTCCTGACCTGATCACATGCTGCCCTCAATTTGGTGAACTTGCACCCCTTACGCTGTGATGCTTAGACTGCTGCTCACTTAAGTCTTTTAAGAGGCAACTGACCGGCTAAGAAACATAGAAAATATAGCAGCAGGATAGTCCTGACACTGAGCTAAGGCACTAGCTTAATGAAGATGGACTCATATGACAATTATCATATACACACTCAGTATAATCATTGCTTATTGCTTTTCAGGCGTCTTTTATGTTCTCCAAAGAGCATTTGCCTCTTTGGCAGGGTGTTTTCTTGAAATGGAAAAGCAGATGCAGAGATACAGAGAGATACATTTCCTGACACTGAGTACATAATATATAGTGTATATCCACACAGCCAGCTTCTCAGCACTTCTCATGCAGTCTGTAGTGCTATC